ATGTTCAAATCACTTATCTTCAGCCTTACCTAAGGCTACTCATTTTCCTCTAAGTACTGCTTTAGCTACCTTCCCAAAGTATTGATTATCAGTAGCTCTAAGTACTTTAAAAAAGGTCCCACTATGATTCCTTGGCTGATCTACATTTAAAAGTATTTTTCACAACTTCCAAAAAAGTGTGGGCATTTCCCTCTGCTTCCCAGAATCCTCAGCTCACCAGGCCCCCACAGGTGCTGATGGCCACATGGGAGCTGCCGGCCTGGCCCTGCAGGTGGCCAGCGTAGAGGCAGTGGGGCCGGGCAGCTCTCTGCCAGGCCAGGCCCTCTCGGGTCCAGTACTCCACGGAGACGTGCCCTGCCAGTAGACGGGGGCTGCGGGTCAGGTTCAGCAGGAAGTGGGTGCTGGGTGCAGCCACCTTGTAGAAGAGACGGGCCTCGGCTGTGGCCCCCGTGCCCCTGCGCTGCCTCTGGAGGGCAGGTGGTGAGAAGGCCAGCAGTGCCCCGTTGTGGTCCACGCGGGTAGGGAAGGCGATCTCATAGCTCTCCAGACTGGACAGGAACTCATCTGTGGGTGAGGGTCAGAGGCTCTGGTTGGCCCTGTGACCTAGCTCCTAAAGCAGGTGACACTGGCCTCACCAATTCCCAAATCCAGATCCCTGACTGCAGAGCTAAACCTAAATGAACCCTGGCCCTTCCACCCAGGACCCTCTGGCCACCTTAACTTCCTGCTCCCATGGCCACCCTTGGACCACTCCTACCTTGAGATCGGAAGGCATGTGTGACCTTGAAGGTGAGGCCCAGCCCCAGGGCGAGGGCCCAGCGGAGGATCTGGCAGGCGGAAGCCATAGGGGCTACGTGTCCACATGTCTCTCCCGGCCCCGGCTGCTGGCAGCCCCCGCAGTGCTGCCCTCCCTGTTCACAGCCTGCGCAGCATCACTGGGCTCCTGGAGGGGGGCCGGGCAGGAGGGGACCTGGTCTTATTGCCCAGCACAGCCAATGCCAAGGCCCCTTGCCAGATTGACAGGCACCTGCAGCCACTCACGCCCACACCTGAGGATGGTCAAGGCACATCCCCATGTGAAGATCCCAAATGTCCTTTCTCACTTAGTCCCACTCCCCACCCTCCCTACACTCAGAGCTGACCGGCAGGGACCAGGACCCTGTGCGCATCACCCCCGCCCCCGCCCCCCGTGTGCCAGCATGGCTTTGCACACCATGGCATTTCATTTCCGAAGTAACTATGAAGTCCCCGTTCCTCACTCCCCTTTTGTAAATGAGGGGTGACAGAGATTGCCCAGGGTCACATGGACAGAAAGAAAGGGGTAGCCATTCCTTTTTTGGATAATGACAGTGCTGGGCTGGGGAAGGGGGCTGGGGACGGCAGCTGCACATTATATGGACCGAGCCCTCACCCCTCCTGGGGCTCTGTGGACCTCCTGGAAATGACAGACAAGTAAACGGAGAGACACAAGTTCAGACTGTGACAAGCTCTCTAAAGAATCAAAGGGACACGAAAGCAGAGGTCTGAAGGATGCGAAGAAGAGAGTGGAAGAGACAGGAGAGGGTGCACCCGGCAGGGAAGGGCAAGGGGAAGGCCTGGAGGGAGCAGGGAGGAGCCTGGCTCGGCCGGGGCAGGGAAGGCCGGGTGCTGGTCAGTGCAGATGAAAGCCAAGGCATACACTGAGGGCCTCCTGCCCCCGATCTCCCTGCCACCTCCCGTTCAGACCCTCTGCCCGGGGTAGCACGGCACCTCACCAGCAGGCTGGAAACCCTAGCACGGTTCCGAGGCCTCTCCTCCGCCCCACATTTCCAGCCTGGCTCCTGGTCCTGCTTCTGGTTTCAGATTCAGGCCTGCCGGGCAGTTCTGTTTCTCGGGCCTCTGCCCCAGGCCAGCCTGCTGCAGACACCACTTTGGGCCACCACCCTGTGCCAAGCCCTCCTCCCCTACGCCCTCACGTCTCCGCCGCCCTCCTCCTCCGTGCAAAATCCCCCTTAATCACACACTGTCTTGTTTTCTTTGCAGTCCGGCCAAGTCTGAGAGTCGATCCCCAAACAGGGAAGCCTGGCTGCGAGGGAGGGGAGCCAGGTTTCCTCGGAGATGCTGAAGGAGAAGCCCACATGCCCCCTGCTGCTTGGATCCCTCCAGTGATGGGGTGCTCACTCAGGCATTTTTCCATGTTCTGTTCTGTTCTTGTTTTTTTTCTGTTACCTTTCAGGGGTTCCGTTGTGGCGCGGGGAGAACCCTTGCGTGTGGATCGGATCTTCCCTGAGCTGCGCTCTACATGGGCCTCTCTGGGTTTCAGCTGCTTTTTCTGCAGAGCCCGGGCAGGGGGGACAAAGAAGAGGAACCAGGCTGTCTTCAGTGGTGTGCTGGGTGGAGAGTTCAGGGTGGCTGAGGATTCTCTGAGCCCTCCTTACCCCTTGGACCTTGTCATAATGCCCCCCCCCCAACTCCAAAGGTCCTTCTTCCTGTGTCCTCCCCTATTCCTTCCTTGGAATCAAGATCCAGCCTGGCCGGGCTGCTCTGACTCCCCTCCTGCCGTAACCCCCTGCCCACCCCAGGTGGGGGCATCGCAAGTAAAGCTGGACCTCCCCGTCCCTCCCTCCCGTTGGCCCTGCCTCTCTCCTTTCCGGCACCGCGCAGGCTTGGTACCACATCTTCTTCCTGAGCACCTCTCTTTGGTCCTCTTCTCCTGCCTCCCCGCCAAAGCACCCCTCAGTCCTCATGGCTGTCTTCTGAAGCTGGGCCCCACCTCCCAAACTCCCAGCCTGTCTGTGCCTCTGGCTCGGGTGGGGAGTGAGAGATGGAAGGACTCAGCTTGGGCAGGGGAGGAGTGGGATGTGGAGAGGGCATGGCAGGGCCAGGGGCCGCTGGGAGGTGTGACAGTCCAGAGCACTGTGGGTGTGGGGGAGAAGATGAGGCTCCAGGGATGGTGTTAGGAGGGGTCTCAAGCCTGGAGGGCAACAGGGAGTCAGCAAGGGCTTTACAAGGACTGTGTGGGGCTGTGTGTGCGCATTACTGTATGGAAGTGACCCTGTAAGTGTATATGTGTGACCTCGTGTGTGTGTGTGTGTGTGTGTGTGTGTACACCTAGGCTTGGCCATTTCCCCCCAAGCCTTTTACTCCAGAAGGCAGGAGGGAGGCTGCCAGCCCAGGGGGCCAACACTGGAGGAGGAAATGCCTTGTAGATAGAGCCCGGAAACTGAGGCTCCGTCCCATCCCAGGGCTCCTGGAGGGACCTGTGGCTCCACACTTGGACCTCCCACACCAGGCCGGGGCAAACGCGCCACTGGGCCTCCATGTGGAGGCCGAGGTCATGTCTGGCAGGCAGAGGCGCCTGTGGGCCCGGGTCAGCGAGCCTCCTCTGAGTCTGCACATCTGGCTGGGCAGGCTGGAGGCAGCCCCTGCACCGAGGCAGACAAAGGCCCGACTGCAGCCTGCAGAGGAGCGGGTGGTGCTGGGCCCCAAGACCAGCCGCTAATTAGAGGCCCTGAGTCTTGAGCCCGACCCCTGGAGACACCCTGAGAGACTCGGTGACCAACTCAGGGGAAGTGGGCGGCACCACTCCCACACCCAGACACAAACACACACACTGGCAGCGACACACACACACCCTAGGGCAACCACACCTGCAGAGCCAGCACAGCTCAGCACACCAGACCCACAAAGGACCCCCTCCATCCCAGACACACGCGCGGACCCCTAGAACACACACACAGAAACAGACACAACTACACACTTCCAGACCTATGTGCACAGACACCTACACCCTCATTTACACACAGACATACACATATAAACAGTCCGGCCCTCGAATGCAGACACACACTAATTCACATACACACAGATGACTCAGAGACAGACGCACAGGCCTATGAGCAGACACGTACACACATTTACACACACACACACACACACACACACCCCAACTGGAGGCCAGTTGCAAGTCCCACAAACCTAGACTCCGCAACCTCACACACACACACACACACACACACCGGCATTTATATATCACACTCAAGGGAGACACAGATTCTTGGAGACACACCAGACACACGTCTGGACACTGACACAGAAGACACTTACCTATGTGTACACACCGGTTTACACTCACACTTAGGCAAACAGCCCGCCCAGATCATCACGGCCACTCGCCCCCAGACGCACAAAGACATCACCGTCCACGCACCCCTTGGGCACCTACGTGGGTGGACACGCGCCCACACACAGCAAACCCGACGGCGCTCCCCGAACCCGGGCTCCGACTGGCTCCCGGGGGCGCCCACTTGGGGACGTCCCGCTCCGCCGCGGGCTCCTGGAGGGACCAGTGGCTGGGGGACAGCGCGGCGAGCCACGGCCCGCGGCCACCCCGCCGGCCCCCGACACGCAGTCCCGCGGGGCCACGCAGCCCGCCCGCCGCCCGCCCCGAGGGCGCGATCGCCGCTACCTGCGCCGCGGGGCCTCCGCTCCGCCGTGGCCGCCGCCGTCTCCCGCCCCGCGCGCAGGAAGGGAGGGAGGGAGCGAGCGCGGCGGCGTGGCCGGGGGAGGGGGCGCGGGGACGGCACTTCCTGAGCCGCCCGCCAGGGTTATAAAAAACCCCCAAACCGCGCGGCCAGAAGCCCCGCCCGCCAGCGCCGCCGCCGCCCGGCCTGGGCCGCGGGCTGGAGCCCGGCCAGGGACCCGGGAGCGCCGCGCTCCGCCCGACCCGCGCCCTGCCCAGGGGGGTGCCGCGGGGAGGCGCGTGGGGGGCCCGGGGAGGCGCGCCGTGGGGAGGGGGCGGCGGGCAGAGCTGGGTGGGCGGGGGTCAGGGCCGCGGAGATGGGGTGGTGGGGGAGTTTAAATGGAAGCGGCGAGGCCACGGGGAAGGGGCCGACTCGGTGGGAGCGAGGGGAAGGAGACGTGGGGGGGCAGGGGGCCCGAGGGGGGTGCAGGACCGGGCGGCGGGTGGGGGAGGGGAGAGCCCACTCCCTCGCCAGCTTCAGCAGCATCAACAACAGCTGTTATTTATTGAGGTTTGGTCCTTTCTCAAACAAGCATTTATGGGGCGCCTCCCGTGTGCCAGGCTCTGTGCCTGGGGCTGGTGAGTAAATGCCAGTTGGCCCCGCCCTCCTGGAGCGCCTTCTGAGGGCTTGACCTGCCCTGGGCCTGCCCTCGGGTTCAGTGCTTTTAACTCCCTCCCGTGAAGTGGGCTAGGCTGGTCCCATTTCACAGATGGGAAAACCGAGGCCAGGGGGGATCCCCTTTGGGTCTTGATTGCCCCTGGGTGGGTCCTCAGACCCTGAGGAGTGGGTACATGAATGAGGGTGACCTGGATGGAGGGGCAGGGCTGAGATTCTAGCCCCAAGTGGCCAGTTTTCTCCTGGGCTTCTTGGTGCCTGGATAAGGAGGAAGGGACAGGCAGTAACACCCCCCCCCCACCCCTGCACCTCACAATTCCAGATACTTACCAGGCAAGGCCCCCAGAGAGTGGGCAAAGCCTTGGCCTTAGGTTTTTCTGGCTCTGGGTTCCTCACCTCTGCAGAGTGTGGGCTAATAACACCCTTGTAGGGCCGAGGGGAGGAGGGGCTCCATGGAGCAGCACACATTGCTCAGGTGCCAGGACCCCGCAGCGCACTCTCTCCCCCTTCACTTCCCCTTGAACATGGAATAACATGTAGAGCTCATGGATACAGCAGGTACTCCATAAGTATCAGATTCCTGGAGCTCCCGCACCCCTGTCCTTACCCCAGCCTCTCTGGACTCCAGCCCCAGACCAGAGAGGCATCTGGTCCTTGCTCCCAGGGCTCCCTGCGGAGAGCCTCTTGAGCTCCACCTGAGGAGCCAGTCCGCTGTCCCTGGCCTCTGCTGGACGTACCTCCATCACCCGTGAGCCTTCTGGATCAGCCCTGGGCCACCTTCCAGATCCCTGTTGCTCCGTCAGAAGGTGGCTGCCCTTGTGTTCTGTTTGCCCTTGACGCTCAAGGCCTTCTCTCTTAGCCCAGTGGCTGGTCCAGCCACCTGTCCCGTGTGTGGCGATGGACGGCCTCCAGACCACAGTGGGAATTTCAGGACTGCTTTGAGCCAGGCACTTCCAGGCTGTGCCACTTACCAGCTAAGAAATCTTATAATTAATCTGCAAAACTCGGACTTTGGGTGCAGCGGTGCAGTCCTGAAATCCCAGTGATTTGGGAGGCTAAGTCAGGAGAATCGAAAGTTCAAGGCCAGCCTGGGACCCTGTCTCAACATAAAAAAGGCTGAAAAGGGCTGAGGATGTGGCTCAGTGGTAGAGCACCCTGGGTTTAATCCCAAGTACAAAACCAAAAGACACACACACACAGCCTCTGCCTCTTTTTATTTGTCCCCTCTCCTTTCTGCCACAGCTGCAGAGTTCCCTTGGGGTCTCTCTCCTCCTGTCTGGATGGAGTGGGGCTTGGCTTGTGCCGTCAGGTGTTGGAAAGGCCCTACTACGCTTCGTCAATGAATCTTTTTTTCTGGGAATCCTGGGAAACAGATTTTTGCATCTTGATTGGATTATTTACTTAATGGAGAGGGTGGGGCCTTGTGACATTGCCCAGGTTGCCCCTGAATTCATGTGGCCCTCTAGGCTGCTCTTTAGTCCTTCACATATTGACCGAAGCATCACCCCCTTGGCAAGCCCTGCCCTGATCCCCCCAATTTAATATCACACCCTCCACACCTCCTCTCCCTTCCCTGGTTTACTTTACTCCCAGGAGTCACTACCTGACGTACTCTGTGGAACCCTTGGTTTTGTGGATCCTGTGTCTCCCTGCAGCATCTCAGCTCTGCGAGGGGAGGTGTTGTAGCCCAGAGATCTGGTGCATTCGGGGCGGTCTGGCTTAGACAGCAAGGTCATTCCTGACGCGGCATAAAGTCAGCCCTGCTTATCCAGGCTGGAGGAGAAGATGTTCTGTGATATCTACGTGGGGACTTGGCGCTCACTGAGGAAGGCTCCCCAGGCCTGCGTCCCGAAGCTCAGGCATGGAGAGAGAATTGGATATTTCTTTTTCTCCCCACTTTTGTTTTGTACTGGGGACCCACCCTGGGGCCTCACAGCATGCCAGGCCAGCACTCTACCTCTGAGGTCTATCTGCAGCTCTTTTTAATTTTTATTTTGACACAGGCTCTCACTAAGTTGCCGAAGCCATCCTGGGACTTGCAATCCTTCTGCCTCGGCCTCCCAAATACCTGGGACTGCAGAGGTGCTCCACCAGGCAGAGGGGGGTGTTTAAAAACCCACCTTGACTCCTCTCGTGAACTTCCCTTTTCAGTCACAGGATCTGAGACCAGGCTGGGAGCTTCTTGTCAAGGCACCTCCCTCTTAGAACCCAGGCAGCAGAGGCTGGAGGGAGGGGCTTGTCCTCTGCAAGTGAAGGACCTTGTTCAGGTAATGAGCTCTGGCTCCTTCAGGGACCTGTCCCCAACTCCTCTTGGCCCAGCGCTCTGGGCCTGGGCAGAAGGGCTATGCAGTGTGCGGTGAGGTGGGGCCCAGCCCAGGGTCTCTGTGTGTGTATAGGGCAGTGGGCACGGTGACCTCACCCCAGGATCAGCTCAGAGCTGTAGTTCTCCCGACACCCCATCTGGCAAGAGGGTCAGTGTGACCTGATTCAGACTTACAAGCTGTGCAACTCTGAGCGTGAATCATCCTCTCTGAACTTCGTTCTTTAACTGAGAGATGGGAATAACTGTTCGCATTCACCTTAGACGACTTTTGTGCTGTTTTTTGTTTTAATTTAGGAAGAGCACAGATTCATCCCCTCATGGCTCTGAGGTTGGGCTCTTGCAGGTCGAGGCCAGGCACCTGCAGGTGGGTTGCCGCTTCCAGACAGGTTCTTGACTGGCACATCCTCTAGAGGGAGGATTGTTATGTCCTCACCTGGCAGAAGGCTGGTGGGGTGGGGGCAGCAGACAGGGATGAGAACTCGCCTGCTCCTCCATGCCTTTCCATGGTCACAGGAGTCCCCTCCCAAGAGCTCCATCCTCCTGAATTAAACGTCTCCCCCAGTAGGCTGGCCTCCCAACACTAAGTTCCTAACCCGTGAGTTTTGGGGAACACATTCAAACCCCAGCACCGTTGGGTGGTGGGTAGGAATTAGATGAAATGGGTAACTTACAAGAGGTCTAGCGAGGCGCCTGGTGCAGCAGCCATCGTTAGAATGACTCTTATGGTCATTTGACAACTGTACCAGGAGGAAGCCGAGATCACAGCAGGAAACCACAGCTGTCGGGCTCTGCCTCAAGAACTCAGCTTGGTGGGGGGCACAGGGCCCACAGTCCCTGGACTCATGTGCCTGTCGGGACCCTGGGAGCCCAGAGGAGACCCTTGGTTCCAGGGAAGGCTTCCTGGGAGAGGGAAAGATGGATCTGTGGCTTCAGACTGGGGCCCAGAGGTGTGGGTGCTCCCATGCAAAACTCACCAGGTTGATCCTTTGGGGTGTCCACTGGAGCCCCTCAGCATTAGGGAGTCTCTAGGTCCACCAGGCACAGGTTCTAGGGAGACCCAGAGGCAACCTGGCCCATCCCAATGGGCTTCGATGCCTTTCCAGGTACTCAGTGTAGCTTCTGCAAACCAACCCAGCGCGGCTCTGATCCTTAGTAGCCACCAGCCTAGCAGTTCTGGACTGGATCGTTTTATATAAACTTTTTATTAATTCTATATGACTTCATTGATTGATTAAAAGAATGATTGGGGGCTCGGATTATGGCTCAGCAGCAGAGCGCCCACCTAGCATGTGCGAGGCCCTGGGTCCAATCCTCAGCACCACATAAAAATAAATAAATAAAATAAAGATATTGTGTCCAACTAAAGAATAAATATTAAAAAAAAAAACTATTGGAGCTGGGTGTGGTGATGCACACATGTAATCCCAGTGACTTGGAAGCCTAAGGCAGGAGGATCGTAAGTTTGAGGTGAGCCTCAGCATCTTAGTGAGACCCTCAGCAATGTAGTGAGACCTTGTCTCAGAATAAAAAACAAAAAGGATGGGATGTAGCTCAGTGTCCTTGGGTTCAGTCCTCAGTCCTCCCAAAATAAAACAAAAACATTTATTGAGCACTTACTGCATGCCTGGCTTGGGTCGGAAGCAGAACACAGCAACATCCTCACACTCATAGCAAGAGAAGACGACGCATAAGTCAATCCACATAGCGTCAGTTCTCGTCATCCACGGTAGTCCTGTCCTTTAAAGCCCCAGCAAACAGTGAATCAGTGAATACCGACCTCTGCTCCGAGGGGAAACACAGGGTCAGGTTCCTTCAGGTGCTGGTCACAACTGCTTTCTCAGCCCATCGACTAGTACTTTGTCTTCTGCATGTTTCGGTTGAAAGACAACAGCTAACATACAGCTGGCTCCCTGTATCTGTGGGTTCTGTGTCTGTGAGTCCAACCTACATTGGATCCAAAATATTCCGAAAAAAAATTTTAGTGTGTTCGGAAGACATGAAGCCTTTTCCCTGTCATTATCCCCCAGACAAGACAGGGTGACAGCTATTTATGCAGCATCTATGCTATACTAGGTATCACGCCACCTAGAGAGATTTCCAGAGCATGGAGGACGTAGCCAGGCGTGGGGCACACTCCAGAGCCCTCCTCCAAAAGGACACTTGTTTACAGGAGGAGAGGCGAAGCCAGGCCAGAGCCTCTCCTCGGCTGACCCCAGCTGGGAGCCATGCACGCTGGGCCACTCCAGTGTTTTCCTGCTCTCTGCACATCCTCAGATGAGCGGAAACGCCCTGTCGGTATTGATTTGGGGTTGCAAATGCATTTCAGTGAGTAAGCAAATTTGCAATGATGGAATCCACAAATAACAAGGATCAACCATATCACATTTTGGTGGTAATGAGTTATGGAGAAAAAAAATAAATAAAAGCTGGGTGTGGACAGAGTGAGGGGTGGAGGAGGGTGTGTATTAGTTTCCTGGGCTGCTGTAACAAAATACCACAAACCAGTGACTTAAAAACAGAAATTTAAGCTGGGCGTGGTGGCACATGCCTGTAATCCTAGTGACTCGGGAGGCTGAGGCAGGAGGATGGCGAGTTTCAGGCCAGTCTGGGCAATTGAGTGAGACCCTGTTTCAAAATAAATCAAAATAGAAAGGCTAGGGTTGGGGATGTGGCTCAAGTGGTAGCACGCTCGCCTGGCATGCGTGCGGCCCGGGTTTGATCCTCAGCACCACATACAAACAAAGATGTTGTGTCCGCCAAAAACTAAAAAAAAAATATATATATATTAAAAAATTCTCTCTCTCTCTCTCTCCTCTCTCACTCTCTCTAAAAAAAAAAAATAAAGATAGAAAGGCTGGGGGCATAGCTCAGTGCAAGGGAGTGAGCAAGTCCTGGGATTCCATCCCGGGCACAGAAAACAAAACCAAAAATCTAACAAAACAGCAAAGAAGCAAAACATCCAGAAATCGATTGACCCCCACTTCTGGCCAGAAATTCAAAACTGAGGTGTCGGCAGGGGACGTGCCCTCTGAGGCCCTAAGGAGAACCCTTCCTTGCACCTCCCAGTCCTGGTGGTCGCTGGCGGACCTTGGCTGACAGACACATTGCTCCTGTCTCTGCCTCCGTGGTCACGTAACGTTTTCCCTGTGGGTTTTTGCCTCTGTGCTCCAATTTCCCTTTTCATATAAAGCCATCAGTATGTCAGATTAGGTCCTCTGAATTCCAGGACTAGCTCATTTTAATTTGATTACACCTGCAAAGATTGTATTTCTTTCTTTTTTTCTTTTTTCTTTTTTTTAGTACTGTGGATTGAACCCAGAGACCCTTAACCACTGAGCCACATCCCCAGCCCTTTTTACATTTTATTTAGAGACTGAGTTGCTAAATGCCTTAGTAAGTTGCAGAGGCTGGCTTTGAACTCACAATACTCCTGCCTCAGCCTCCTGAGTCATTGGGATTACAGATGTGTGCCACCATGCCCGGCTCTGTACTTCAAAATATGGTCCTGTTCACACATTCTAGGTGGGCATGAAGTTTGGGGAAGGGGATGTTCTTCTAGTCCAGGGAGATATTTTAGGGAAGGTTTCTTGAAGGGTGACATTTGAACAGAGACCGATTCTAGTAGAGTTAAGAGTGTTCAGAAGAACGGCATGTACAAGGCCCCTAAGAGGGGCTGTGTCTGAGCCACTATCTCTTCAAGTATCAAAACAAGGTCTAGGAAGGGGTTGAGTTTGGGGATGAGGGTAGGGGGGAGATGGGGAAGGTCTCGACAGGCTGCAGGGATAACTTGTGCTTTGAACTCAAAGGAGGTGAAAGTCACAGAGGGCTGTGGGCAGAGGAGGGGTGTGAGATTCCAGAGGCAGATGGGATAGCACCTGGCTGGCGAGGCCTTGGGCTCAGTATCTTATGGAATCCCCCAAGTCCCACAGAATCCCATACCTTTGCTAGCCTGTTTTTGCAGATGAGGTCTGGCAAATTTAACTCACTCCCATCTGCTTCCTGGTGTGAAAAATAGTAAAGTATCCATAATGTCCATAAAGCAACTTGTTCATTAAATGCAAACGTCTATTGTATTAGTCTCTTTTGTGTTACTGTCACAAAATACGTAAGGCTGGATAACCTTATAAAGAAAAAAATGGTCCATTTTGGTTCACAGTACTGGCCCACAGGTGAGGAGCCACATCTGGTGTCGGCTGTCTTTCTTGCTGTCAAGAGTCCCAGGCAGCACAGGGTACCCCATGGTGACAGAGAGCGCATGTATGTATTGTCTGCCCTCCCTCCCCCTTTTTGGGGGGTGGTGGTGGATATTGGTGATTGAACCCCAGGCCTCACACAGGCTAGGCAAGCACTCTACCCCTGAGCTACCTTGCCAGCTCTTCTTACTTTATTTTTGAAACGGTGACACTAAATTGTTCAGGCTGGACTCAGACTTGTGTTCCTCCTGCCTCAGTCCCGAGTAGCGGGGATGACAGGTGTGCACCATCAGGTCACTTTGCTCCCTCTTCTTACAAAGCCAGTCACAGGGGCTCCACTCTGATGACCTCGTCCAACCCTGACCACCTCTCATCACATTACCACGGACACACCAAGTTCCTGCTCTTTCCGTCGTTACAGTGGGGATGAAGTTTTAGCCCGGGAACCCCCAGGGCCACTCTGAACCACACCCAGCCCGTGGCACCTGTTGCTGATCTTTACCACGTCACCATGGGAGCATTTTGCTGCCTGACGACACCTTGGAGCCTCTATTCTAGCTTTCTTGGTGGCACAGGGGCCCCTGCCATGTGGGGGGCTTGGCAGCCAGAAGCAAGCTCTCAGGGAACCTAAGGTCTCGGGCAGAAAACTGGGGGTTCGTTCAGAGGCCCAGGAGCAGGGTGGTAGCAGGGAGGGGCCGAGTCCCCGCTGGTGCCTCAGGCAGGACATTTCTGCTTTCTGATAGAGGTGGCATGCAGGTCTGGCTTGAGTCCCCCTCGTCCCATCCAAGTCTGGTTGGATCAGCTGGTTCTCTCTGCAGCTTGACTGCCGCGTCGCCCCTCTGGGCCCACATGATGGGCCTTTAATTGGGACCTTGGATGCTCAGGGCATGTTCCACAGAACTGTGGCCAAGGAGGGATTAAACCAAGGTGTTCACTGGGGTCATTCTGTGCAGGTCTTGTCAGAGCCTTTAACATCCCGGGCTTTGCAGTTTTTCAAAACTTATTTGTCCCTTGACATTTTCTTTTTCCTCTCTGAAACTTTTTTTTTGTGGGGACCAGGGCTTTCTGGAAGAGATACAGAAAATCCTACCTGAAGCTAAAGGGGAAGCTTGAATAGTGGAGTCTGAGGCAGAGGTTTCTGGCCCAGCATCAAAGATTTCTTCCTCCTCCTCCTCCTCCTCCTCTTCCCAAGACCTGGGCACTGAGAACGCGGCGGCTGGCGTCCCACAGCTCTGGGGTGGCCCAGCGGGTTGCAAACTTTGGGCAGCCAAATTAGGAACTCAGAGAGGCTGCGCGAGGTCAGCCAGGGCAGGAGTGGGGGCTGGGCTGGGGGCAGAGGGACTCCTGGGGACAGAGAAGCAGGATTCTTGAGCTGGAGTTTGGCCTCTCCTCTTGGACAATGTCCCTTGATCTCTGGGGGGTCTCCGGGCAGCCGGGTCTTCTGGGAAGGCTGTGGAGTCCCCTGGGATGAAGTCCAAGGGTTAGCTCAGCAGAGAAACATCTAATTCCTCCCCCTCCCTCAGTCCCTCAGTCGGGGTCAGAGTGGGAGGTGGCAGATTGGCCCTGCGCTTTGCTTCCCGAGTAAACAGGGGGCTGGCCGGCCTCCCTGCTGCAGCCTCCTGGCCGGCCTCCCCCTGCAGCCTCCGGGCTGGCCTCCCCAGCCCCACTCTGCGCAGTGCCCCCACCCCGCCCACCCCCTCTGACCTCTCCCGGCCCCTCTGGCTGTGGGGACTTCCTTAGTCCTGGCCTGTCCGGGTTTTCAGAGGCCCAAGGGGGTTGCTGGGCAGGCTGCCCTTGAGCCAGCCTGCAGGGGGCTGTTCTGACTGTCCTTGTCATAGTCAGGGAAGAGGCCTGGGCTCTGGAGGCCGGACCCTGCCGCTCTCTGGCCTCACCCACCTCGGGCCACTGGGGCTGCACCTGCGGCCACCAGGGGAGGAGCCTGCTGCTGAGGTGGGTGCCCCTCGGCTTCCTGTCCCGAAGACCTTTAGCTACCCTGTCCCCGACTCTCATCTTGGGACAAGCCCCACCCTGCGCTTCCAGGGAGTAGGGTCTGGGAGGGGCGAGGGTCAGACTCCAGGCGGGACAGCCGGGGAGGCGGGCTGGGGACGTTTAGAAGCTTTTCCTTTCCTAGTTATTATCATCCTCATTATGTCGATTTTCATTTTTAATTGACCCATAATAATTGTGCCTGTTTGGGGGTACAGTGTGACAAGTTGATGATGCATGCTAGTTAGCATTCCACCCCAGACACCACCATTTCTTTCTGTGGGGCTCGGGGATCATCTTTACTGCGGGTGTACTTTAACTCCGGGATCCTTTTTGTTCTTTCTTTCATAGAAAAAAAAATGGACCTGTGCTCTACCAACAGTAAAACCCACCCGCTTCAGTGTACGATTTGGTGACTCAGGCAAACCACACAGCCTGTAACCACCCCCTCAGCTGGGATTCAGATCCCACCCGATCCCTGCGCACCCCGTGGCCAGCAGTCCCTGGCCCTGCACCAGCCCCTGGCCACCACCGGTGGCTCTCCTTCTGCCTTTTTCCAGAGCCCGGTCAGCCCTCTGCATCTGAGGACTGAAAATATTTGGAAAAAAAAAAAAAAAAACTGTCGATGTCTCTTCTGGTCCTTCTCCCCTCAACAATACAGCGTGACCACAGTTCACACAGCACCGGCACCGTACTGGGTGGTGTGAGTCTCCTAGAGATTATTTTAAAAAGAATTTAAAAAGGGATGGGTAGGTTCTGTGCCATTTCATAGAAGGGGCTTGAGCATCTTCCGATTTTGGTGTCCTTGGGGTCCTCAGCATCTGTGCGCACGGAGGGAGGGCTGTATACAGCAGGTCAGATGGTGGTAGTGCTAGTGTGTGTATGAGGCCCTTTTAGCTTGAGGGCCCCTTCTGGGGAGGTACCCCGGGGAGGTGAGGAGATTGAGCTGTGCAGCCCCCTGAGGGGAAGGGAGTGCATTCTAGGCAGCAGGAAAAGCAAGTGCCAAGGTCCTGAGGCAGGAATTTATTTGGCTTCTAAAGGAACACCCAGGAGGTCTGTGTGGCCGGAGCAGAGTGATGGAGGGGGAGAGCACTCAGGGCCTGAAGGTTGCAGGAGAAGGAAGCCTTTACCCCGAGATGTTGAAGCAGCCCCCTTTGGCTGCCTTGTGGATATTAGTGACACCTGTTCTAAGGAGCTGTTATAAGGATTATATACATTGATAGGTATAAAGGGAGAGTGCTGTGTCTGGCACGTACCACCTGAACATTAGGTATTAGGTTATTATTATTATGGGTGGTAGACATCTGCATTTTGGGGTGTGTCTGAGTTTCAGCTGGGCCAGGGGGCCATTAGCAAGTTTGCCGCCATTAAAGAATCTCTCGAATGCTCTATTCAAAACTCCACTGAAGGCTGGGGCTGGGGCTTGGCGGTAGAGCACTTGACTAGCATATGTGAGGCACTGGGTTCCATCCCCAGCACCACATAAACATAGATAAATCAAGATATTGGGTTCATCCACAACTAGAAAAATATTTAAAAAAGGGAAAAGAAATAAACTCTCTACTGAAGCTGGGTCCTGTGGCACAGGCCTATAATCCTAGTTATTTGGGAGGCTGAGGCAGGAGGATTGCGAGTTTGAGGCCAACCTGAGCAGTTTAGTGAGACCCAGGGCTGGGGATGTTCTCAGTGGAAAAGCCCTCCTGGGTTCAATCCCCAGGACTGGGGAAAAACAGAACAAAATAACAACAACACCCCCCCTGGCTGTTTGAAAGCCGGGCTGAGGTTGCCTCGGGCTAGGGCTGGGAGCAGCTCTTTTGTGTAACAGATGTTACCCAGATGTCAGCCAGGGTCAATCAAGCCTCCGAGATTTGGCGCCTGCCGCTCTCCCACGACCTGCCTGCGGGAAGCCCAGCACCCTCCCGGAGATGTCTGCTGGTTCCCAGGGCCTCTGTTCTCAGGGTTGCTTCTGGGTCTGAATTCCTGCCTGCGCACCCTTGAACTCACCCACCTTCCCAGGGCCACCCCTTTGGGGGAACCAGTCCTGTTTCCTTGATGTCTTCCAGACTGATCTTGCTTACGCCCTGGATTGCTGGCATGTCCCCCTCCCCCAGTAGGCAGTGTCCTTCCAGGATCCTGCCCTTCTGTCTGTCTGTCCGGTGGTTTTGACATTGTTTAGCTTCCACGTAAGATGTTGCTTGACAGAGAATTCCAATGCTGGCAGGAGAGATTTGCACACTTCTTGCATAACACAGCGGAGTGTTATGACTGGCTTAGAGGGACCATGCTGTCGTGAGTAGGGGAATGTTGCTGAGGACACCCAGGGTCAGTGGCTGCGAGCTTTGGACGGCTAGCTGGCTGGAAGTCGAGGCTGCGGGGGTAAAGGTCGGCACAGCACCAACAGTGAGGCTGGCAGTGAGGTCGAGGTGGCGACCCGAGGAAGGAGAACAATGAACCTCAGGCCAACATCGAGGGACCAGGAACAGCTAGGTTGAGCCAGACTTTTGGAAAGTTAAGCGGGCCCTGCCAACAGAATGTGTTGTGGCTTCCTGGCCGGTTCCTGTAATCAGACTGCTTTCTCAGGGTGTGGACAGTCAGGGATCAGAGTTCGGAGTTACAGAACAGAACCTTCTGCGGGGCAGGGCGGGGAGAACCCCCCGGGGCTGGTCAGGTGAGTGGGACGTGCCCAGCTCTTGGTGTAGCTCTGGGACAAGTGTGTGGGGGTGTGTTAGAGAGGTGCATTCCACTCAGGCCTGGAGACCAGGGTTCCACAAGCATGACCGCAGCTTGGTGACGGGGACTGAATGCTGTTGCCTGGGCCTGCTCTCTGTAGGGGCTTGCTGGGGCTCTTGCATTTGGTGTCAACTCGAATAGACCCTGACCCTGGAATGGGCCTTGGAGAGCATGTTGTGAAGTATTTCTTAACTTTTTTTTTTTTTTTTTAGTTGTAGATGGACATGGTACCTTTATTTTATTTATTTATTGTTTATGTGGTGCTGAGGATCAAACCCAGTCCCTCACACGTGCTAGGCAAGGACTCTACCACTGAGCCACCACCCCAGCCCCTTGCCCAGTATTTTTTAAATGAACTTTATTTATTTGTTATCGGTGCATTATTAGTGAACACAATGGTGGGATTCATGATGCCATGTTCATAATGCACATGAAATAATCTGATCAATGTCACTGCAGTGCTTCCTAAGCTTTTCGGGACCACATCCTCACATGGAAATCCAACCACGTCTGAAAACCACTCCCTGAAAGACCTTGTGGACAGTTACATGGTATCATGGCTGCTCCTGAGCCCCACCCCAGTTAAGAATGTCTTGCTCTCTCATTTGGCACACGAGGGAACAGAATCGCAAGTGCATAAAGCCTTCCTCAAGGTCACAGAGATACCTAGTAAGGAAGCGGGTGTCAGGCCAACGTGGCACTTAACCGGAGTCAGAGCTGGAGGCAAACAGTGAGTCCCGCCCCCGTGACTGCTGTGCAGTTTAGCAAGAAATGCCTGCGCCTCAGTTTCTGCATCTGCAAAACGGGAGTAACGATCATCCCCTGCTTGGGGGGATGCCGAGGGTTAAACGACTTGTAGATGTGACATTTAGAATCAATGCTTTAATTAACGGCACCTCCCACTTTTGTCTTGTGTCATATTCAAGTCCCCCTCCCCTCTTAATGGGGTCTCACTTTGTTACTCAGGCTGGCTTCAAACTCTTGGACTGAAGCGACTTCCCTGTCTCAGCGTCTGGAGTAGCCGAGAGGGCAGGCAGGGGCCACCTTTCCTGGCTTTTTTCTCCCCACTTTGAAACAAAGCGGAGACCCAGGTTGATTCTTAGCTTGAGGCTCTAGTGAAGTGTGACTTAAACAACTCTGCCACCTAGTGGTCTCATGGTGCATAGCGCAGAATCTGTGGCCTGGAAACAGGGATCCAGCCCCACTTACTGTTTTTTGGTGCCAAATCCATAGGCGTTCAGTAGAAATCATACTTTGAATTTCAAGTTTTGATCTTTTCCTTGGCTAGCGACACGTGGTACGAGACTCTTGCTTGATGCCCGACCGCAGGTTCAGCGGAATGTTCTGAGCACAGTTAGGCTAGGTTTGGTAGATTAGGTGTAGTAAATGCATTTTTTGGGTAGTGCTGGAGATTTTTTTTTTTTTCAGGACCAGGGACTTTTGCATGTTAGCCCAACATCCAGTGCTAAAGGCATGTTTAACTTAACGGTATTTTTGGTGAATGGTGAGTTTCTGGGGGTGTAACATGTGGCAAGTCAGGGAACAGCTGTGTGGTGACGGTTGGGGAGTTGGTGGCTGCTCTGAAGGAATCTGCACACCTCTTCCTTTTTTTTGGAGCTGGGGATTGAATCCAGGGCCTCTTGCATGCAAGGCAAGCACTCTATGCAGCCCCTGCGTGTCTCTTGTTGAAGAGAATTTGTTTGAACATTGTATAATTTGGCCTTTGCTGTGCAACAAACTATCTTAAAATGTAGCACTTGGAGCAATGGTCACTAAGTCTCCCTGCCTCGCTACCTAGTAGTGCTGGGAATCAAACCCAAGGACTCATGCCTGCTAGGTAGCCCCATACCACTGAGCGGAACCCCCAGGCCACCGACTAGGGCTTAATTCTGTGGGTTGCTGATTTGGGTTAGGTTCAGCCATTCAGGGGGCTGCAGTTAGCTGGTGGTTGTCTTTATTGTCTTCCACGTGGCCTCTCCAGCCGGCTAGTGTGGTTGTAGAGGTGCTAGGAAAAGTGGACAGGGAAGCCCCAAAGTTCAAACATCTCTATTTGTGTCACATTTGCTAAATGTATCATGCCAAACCCAGAAGGGTGCCTTAAGCCAAAGAGAGGCCTTCCCAGACACTAGCCTTGCTAGCACCTTGACTTAGGCCTTCCCAGCCTCTGGAACTGTCCATATGTACAGTTTTTGTTGTTTAGGCCACTTAGTCTATAATATTGTATTAGGCAGCCAGAGAAAACTAATAAAGATTTTATAATTAGCCCAGGCTAGCCCACTAGTCTCATTTTGGAAAATGACTTTCTCTGTATGAGATAGTTATATTGCTTTGTTGTGAAGTTCTCTCCATTCTTCTGCAATCCTCCATTCTTCCCCATTCCCTACCTCTCCAGATTTCACATGGATTAAGCATATTATTCTGGGATAGCCTGGGACCCAGTGGTCTTTTCCCATATTGTTCTCAGTATAACATCCTGCAGGAAGGGATGGGCCGGTCACAGCCCTCTCCTTCCCCACCCAAGTCCTGCTTCAGTAATTTAGGGACTGTTCCTCTGTTCTCTGGCTTAAGAATTGGCCCACTGGCAAAGAGGGTGGATATCTGTCTTGTCCACCACTTGCCTTGGAATAGCATTTGGCATGTGGCTGACAATCTTTGTCCAGTGATTGAATGTCACCAGGCAGGACTCAAGACCTGTCTGAAGGTTGACACCTCTGAAGGTGCCTACTCCTAATGGCCACTTCCACTGCCCACCATCCCCAGCCCTCTAACTCTGAGTGTATCGCCTTAATGTTTATCCGTCAGTTGTCCCCTATGTCCACAGGGTCCCCAGGGTGAACAGTTCCTCTTCTTCCATTGGAAAGCTGCTCTTCACCCCAGACTCAGCCACTGCACCAAAGACTCCTAATAGAACTGTTCTGTTGGAGATGTCAAGTGGTTTAGCTGTGGGGTGTGCAGGTCT